AATAATAGAAAAATTGATAAACAGTTAGCATAAAAAGTAACTAACTTTTAAATTACGACAGAAGAGAAAGCGAATATCATATTTTACAGCCTTTGAATTGCATTGGGGACACTTTCCAACCTTACCCTGAGCTTTCAGCCATTTAGAAATGCATCTGAGAATATTTTTACAAAAAGGCTAACTCAAATCCAAAAAGATGTCCACATTTGAGACAACAGAGCCTGTGGATTCCCGAAGATGTCCATGGCTCGAAACATATAGGGCAAGACTTACAATATTACGCATATAATAATAGTTACTTCGGAATCTTCTTCAATAATAACAGACTTAACAGGCACATCATCTATGGTTTTTCTCTTCTTCGAATCCTGGGTGAATAGATCTTCATCTTCATTATTAGTTGAGATGGATGAATCTGAAACAGAGACCTGTACTTGAATAAATAAAGAATATTAAGCAATACAGGAGATGTAGGCTGCATGTGTGAAGAGAGACTAAAATAGTTAACCTATCCGGCACTTGCCGGGAAGGATAAATTTGATTCGGCAAAAAAAATTACTCGGTCAGAGTAACTACTGTAAAGCCATCAATTCCCTATAAATTTAGAGTTATTTCCTACTGTGTTTTAAATCCTGTATTTTATATACTCCAATAATTTGTCTTGTTTTGTTAGACTTTACTTGCATTTTAAATATAATGTTTCTGATGATTAAAGTGTGTGAGATTATACAAAACATTAAACTCTTTTGCTTGTGTATTATATACGATACTAATTACACTGCTTAGTCATAATAAAATCTTCATGAATCAGGAAAGCATTTATTTGCGACCCAAGAAACATAGGCAATAAAGTAAAATAAACTTAAATCAAGATCGTAGATATGAAGGCCAAAATGGTGTGGCTGTTGGTCGGGTCGAGGTTTTCCCTACTTCTATAGTGTTGGTTTAACCTAGATTTTGTGACTTGGTCGAGAAAACAAGACCTTGTGGAACGTACTTAGTCCTGCTCCTATTGCCAGAGTATTCATAGGGTTCAGCATCAGAAAATTGACTTGGTACACTCTCAGTCGCCTTGCCAGAATCATCAGTGAGAGATGCTACCCTTAGCCCAGAGTTGAAACTTATCAAAGCGACCAATTTTCTGTTCACCCTTTTTATCCTACCTTCTAGTGCTGCATCTCTTTCTCCCAACCATACTTTATATGGCGCATTTACCTTTTTATATCCTTCTCTGATCTCGTTTCCTCCAATATTGTCTAATTGTTTGTCGATTAAAGTAGATTCAGTGAATTATAATAACTTTCACCAATGGTTTCGGATACTCTTTGCAGGGCTTCTAGCCAATGGAGTTTGACTTCCATTCAGCCTATCTCTACCCCACCTCTCAGTTCTTTTCTTGTACACATTAAATTCAGTGTCTGGCTGCCTCAAATCTGGCTGTCTAGGAAATATCGAATTAGTTCCTAATTTATGACATAGTAGGAGAGTTAAGATAGGCGACTCTCATACCTAAGCATCCTCCTTTGCTTTAGTATTTAGACCCATTACCCAGTTATTCTCTTTCTCGTTCCCACTCTGTTCTATCTTATCATCTGACGCCATTTATCATGCTGGATTCAGAACCAATGGTCTTAAAATAGCGCGCTTCTATTCCTGAATCACGTAAAGCACCCTCCTCTTGTCTTTAAAGTTTAAAATTTCCCTTAATCTTAAGGATTTAATCAGTTGTGCACATGTTCGTTATCTGCTAACTTTCCTAGTTAGGCATGTGAACAGTCACTTCTCACTACAGGAACGCATACAAAAACTGCACACAAGTAGAAACACAGGCATACACATTTACACTGTGGACTAATTGATATTGTGCTCCCCAGCTCGATGAATTTGAAATCGAATTAGATCTTTAGCATAGCATCTATTATGGAGTACAATTTGCATGTTTCCGGACTTTGGTGTATTATTCAACAATTATACCCAAATTGGCAATATCTATTTTTAGAAGTTGTTTGACCTTGTCTTCGCAACTCGGTTATAGTGGTAAGAAGATTTGGAAGAGCGCGCCTAGTCCGGAGACCATTGTATGCATCATCATTTCCAAAGTCGGACCGTGGACGTAGTACATTCCTAGACGTTTCGCTGACATCTTAGTCAGCATCGTCAGTGAGTTTTACCATTCGTAGCACCATATTACAACTAGTCAAAGAGACAAGTGAAGCCCATCCTTTGAACAAACGTGTGCTAAACAGTTGTGATATCTCCCCTTTTGCTCTGGGTTATTCACATTTCCTATATCCTTCTATCACGCT